TGGTTGGCAAACAAACACAGAAGGCACGTGTTATTTGCATAAAATATCGTGTATCTATCGCCTCTGTGAAATAAGGGAGTTAAACAATATCATCTTCTACGTCCTCTGTAGCAGCATTAATATTCCATCAGTTATATTTATAACATTACTGTGGAATATTAGACTGAGTTTGGAATTACAAATGAACTTTTGAAAGTGGTTGTTTGTATGTAAGCTGGGAAATATCTGTAGAAAGAACCTCCCATACCTGTTTGTTCCTAGATAAGTGTTTTTATCAGTCAGACTTCTTGGTATCCTCTTTGCGACTTGATTATTCTTTGGTACTTTAGATATAAAAGTGAACTTGAACACCAAAAATGAAAGTTTTGTCTTTTATAATTCAAATTCTGGATCAGTCACCAGAATTGCTTTGGATAACTTCACCTACCATAATAATACACATTAAATGAGTTTGTATTTTAAAATTTAAATTCACCTCTTGATATCTGCGTTAATAAAGTGGATCTCAAAATAGCATATAATCTCAAAATAACTTAGATTGATTTTTTCAGAAGATTTACTTTACTAATTATGTTTGCCATTGTTTAATATAAATTCAAGAAGCATTCTCTGGGAAAAGTACATTTGACACCAGGGGAGTGCATCCCAGAAGTCTTTTTGGTGACAGGGGCATACTATTCTTTGAGGATTAAAATTTTCTTTCTGTATCAGAACTAGCTTGAAGGAGCTCCCTCTGCCAAAATCCAGGACTATCTGAACATTAAAATAAATACATATAATTGGTTAATAAAATGACAGTATTTGAATTTATATTAATATGCATAAATAAATGAGGGAGAAGGGAAAGCATTTTCTTAACAGTAGAATGCCAACTAATGTATATATAAGGAATGATGGAGTTAGAAGATCGTCCTTGGATGTCAAAATAGTTGGCAAAAGTTTGATGAAGAATAGGATACTTATAGTTTCGAAGTATGTCTCTACAAATTAGTTATTAATTACAAATGAAAAACAGTACTTTACGTTGGAGAAACCTGGTGGATACATCACCAGTGTTGTGACAAACCGACATCACGTGCCTCCTAATACATCCACCGAGAAGGACGCAACACTGTTGATGTGGTATTCCTGCCAGAACACGTAACCTGAATCTAGGCATGAGGGAATATAGACACACATCCAGACTGAGGAACAGTCTTCCGTACTCTTCATGTATGACAAAGAAAGGCTGAGGAGCTGTTCCAGATTGAAGGAGACCGAAGACTCAAGAAAACTAAACACAATGTAGAATCATGGATTAGAATCTGGACTGGGAAAAAAATAGTGGTAAAGGACATTATTGGGACAATTGATGAAATTTGAATATAGACTGTGGATAATACTATTGTATCAGTGCTAATTTCTTGACTTTGATAACTGTACTGTGATTATATAGACTATGCCCTTGTTTTTAGGAGATACCAAGTATTTAGTGGTAAAGAGGCGTGATGTCTTCCACTCACTTTAAAATGATTCAGAAAGAAACTTACATATTTATATATTTAATGTATTTAGTGAGAGAATGATAAAGCAAATG